CGCCACCGCGAGATTGATTTTTCGCGATGAAAATAAAAAAAGAGAGCTCTTCCGTACACAATACGTTATCTGATCACGGCACTGCAGAGATGCTCTCGGCGTACTTGCTTTTAATAATTGTTTTAAATTTTTTGATAACATTTTGATTTTAGACCCAATAGATTTTTATTCTGAACGCTGCTCATGAGTAACAGATGCTTAAAAATGCATGAAGAAAAGGGCGATAGAGCTTTCGCCCCTCTTATTTATTGCAAATTGCGTTCCCTCTTCTTTTTTATGTCTCTGTCCGTTTTTGTTTGCAGCCATTAATTTACTACCAGAGAGCGAGAAGCGCAAACTTATTTATTTAACCTTCCAGAGAGCACACTTCTTACTTCTAGCCGCCCTCGTTAATGTCTTTTCTCTGCTTTTGCTCCGCCTGAACGCACACTAGTGTCAGCTCTACACCTCAGTTTCCACTTCCTAACTCCAAAGAATTGTCAAGTTTTTTACTTCTCTTGCGTTCTCTTGAAAATATAAGTTGCATTATAAATGTATGGGTTTGTAAAAAGTTCAACATTGTTATACTTTGCTCTCAATTTCTAAAGAAACTTTTTCATAAAAAGTCACTCACTCAACAGTGAAATTTTAAATATATTTATAGCTTCCCTTCTTCATTTAATATTCTTCAGATCAAATAGAAGTTCCAATTAAATTAAAATGTAATAAAGAAAATTGACTAGAATGGGGAAAGACATTCATTAGAATAAAATAAAGTTTTCTTGGATCATTTACCTGGTCTTCTTACAAATGGCCTCTTTTCTTTGATAAATGAAAATGAAAATGTTATCCAGTATCGAAAATAGTGTAAAAAAATACAGTATAATTCAGTTTTTCTATTAGTTTTTTCCACCAAAAAATTTAATAAATATATCGTTGGTATAAAAACTTGCAGTATACTTACATTCATTTCCCAAGGCAAGGCATCAAATCATCAGCCCTAATGAGCCAATCAATGTAAGCTAACCTTTATGGTAAATACGGTGAGTCTTTGTGACTCTTGACATTTTGACAGTTCTCACATGACTGGAAGAATGATTTCTGAGAACGATATGATAAGTCGAAATGATCTGCAGCAATATATTTAATAATGTACTTTATTGGCATTCCTGTACAACGCAATTTTGGTGATTCCTTTAGCCCGACTTGGCCGTACTCAAAACGGAAAATATGAGAATATCAGCTCATACCTTTTGAGCTCGAAATGAAAGGCCAAATAATATAGCCAGCCGCTCTTTTGAACGCACACAAAGCTAGAGATCTTTTATTAGCTGATCGAAATGTTGATAAACAGCGTGCTCTCCTTTTGAATTACTGTTTTGTCGACGCTCACTATTAATGCGCTAGATCCTTTGTGCTCAATGAACAGAGAGATCTTTGAAAGTAAAAAAATTTCAGTCGTAAACAAGTATTTGATGAGAGCGAATGTTTACAAACGCATTTTAATAGCTCTCAATGCGGCCTGCTTGTTATTTCTTAAAAGCATTACTTTTTTTCTCTACTGGGAAGCAAAGCTGAAATTAAATTCATTTAGTAACTTTTGCAATAACCAGGGGCAATTTGTGTTTTTATGAAGTTGGATGAAGGCTAAAAAAAATACGCACAAAAAACAATTTATTTTATTATTCATCTTAAAATTATAATTCACGAAATTCAAGTACAAAATTAAAACGCTAAAAAAAAAAAATAATTATTTGATTTTTTATTGTTGATTTCAAACGTTCAATTTTAGTGCATAATAGTACTTCACTTTTGGATATCAATAAGGAGCTCTTTGCATAATTCTGCTCGTGAAAATTCACAGAAATAGATGAATTCGGAATAAAAATTTTATTTGTCAGAGTAATTTTCTTTTTTTCTCTCTGGTGCCAAATTGAATGTAAAAAGTTATTGCAATTGTATTAGCAAAGAGAGGAGTTTTCGCGTCACCAGCACGTTGACCCAGATCGCTTCTTTTTTACGTCATTTCGGTGCACAGATGCGCACCTGGTGCTGCGAGATGCTCTTTAACTCGGCAGCTGGTGCATTATTGCCCGAAAGAAGCTTATCGCGCACACAGAGGAAAAAGGACGACTACTAATTCCAGAGCCATCATTACGCTCGCAGGCAGGAATTCTGTTTTTTGTAGCCAACTTTTTACGCACCTCTAAAAATTCGCCTTCGTCTTTGCTTGCAGTCGGATGTAATTATGAAGGAACACGGTTGGACCCTTGAAGCCAAAGTAAATCTCTCTAAATGACATTGACGGAAAATATAACCCTGAATGGGAATTTTTTTGCTTCCAAATTTTAATTTCAAGTTTACAAAAGACATTAGCAATAAGTGGAATTTTTTAGGAACAGACTCAGCTTTTTTTTTTTTTTTTTTTTGCAAAAAAGAATTATATCAACGGAAAGGGTTTTTAAACAAGAAGATATTTTTTTTCTGTAAAATATTATTGAGGAAATATATAAACTGAGTTGATATTTCAAATTCAATATAAATTCAAAACTTTCTATGATATAACCTGGAAAACGTTTTTCTTATGAAATTCTTGCTGGAAGCATTACTATTTGCACAAAATACGCAAAATACAATTCATTGTCATTTTTTTTATCCCTCTATAACACTATTGACTTATAGATATAAATTAAAGTACATAAATGAAATGATTCGAAGCATTATGCAGATTTGATAGCTGCATAAATTATGCAGCTATCAGATCTAGTTTGTTTCATTAGTGACTCTAGTTCTTCATTCTAGATAAAAGTTTTGAAGACACCCCTAATCGTAACCAAATTTACAAGTTATTACGTTGGTTAAAATCCCAGTCAGAAAGTTACAGCTTTTTAGATGATACTGACTGAAAAAGTATAAAATATTTTATTGGGAAAACACGAAGTCCAAGAATGTGTGTATGGTAAAGTTTGCATATTTTGCTAAAATTAAAGTTTTAAATGTATAATATTTCTCAAAGAAACTTTCACGAAAGTAAAATATTTCTTTGAATTACTGCTTCAAGTGCTCGAATGAACTTTTTTAACTTCAACGCAGCTCACACTTCATTGTATGAGGTGGAACAGTGTGGTGCTGATTGTGCACTTTTCTCAACGGGAATTTCCGGCGTTAATTAACAAAAAAGTTACCAACGGTGGCAGCGGGTTTTGGCGTTGAAAACGGCGTCTGCCTCTAGGGCTTCGCAAAAAGGCGAGGCGAATCATTGTTCTCATGTGCGCCCCTTTTGCCCCCTCAACCGACTAAATTTCGCATAAATAACGATGAAGCCTGCGAGCATTTTTCTCTCTGTGGAAATTTCCCTTTCCATGGAAAGAACCATTTCAGCTTTCATAATTATTTTTTAAAGCCTCTCTCGTGCAAATAAATGAGTTGTTGGTTAATTTTAGTGTGTGTTTGCTCTCACTGCGGGCGCCGCCGAGTTTAATTAAGTAAGACGCCTTCTGGGAACGTCCACTCTCCCTGCAACACACTATAAACCCCATTCATATGCTCTTATGTGTGTGCTCATTATTATTATACTTGATGAGATATAATTTAATACACGGCCTAGGCGGGAAAGTGTTTACTTTCCATTTAGCCCCAAATTATTTTTCGTCCAGGGGGGAGCTTCGTTTGTCAAGAATCTCATCCAACAGGCCTCGGGCGTGGCATTTATTATGATTACATTATTATTTGCTCTTCACTGCTTATAGAACGGTCTTCATTTTTCCAGTCTTGTGATAAAGTTCGTCCTAGATACTGAATACAGACGAAGAGACGCCCGAGTTTGCGATTTATACATTTTTATCGTCCAAGGAGGGCAGAGGACGCCATATTAAATGAATAAAGTTTTGTAATTGCTCATTTGTGCACTTCTGCGACCAAACTTTGCATCTCATTTGCCTGAAAGCTCTAAAGAAGCTCGCTGTACGTTACAAAGCTGTTTCAAAATTTAAGTGACTTTATTAGAAGTAGTAATAATTTTGGCCACATAATTATAAATAAAATGATTAAAAAGAAGCAGGCGATGAATAAAAGGTTCAAATTAAAATTTTGAAACTACAGCGGGGAATCCCGTCGAAAATTGTAATTCAATTTTTTATTTATACAAATTTTAGTTGAAGTATGAAATCCTCACCTGTAAATTTACTCATGCCATAGGAAATTTGTCCACATTTTTTAGGTAAAAATATTTTGACTCAATAACAATAATAATTGATCTTGACATGACATTCAGAAAATTACAGCTCACATTCTAAAGTAAGTCCTCGCGCAAAGTTTGAAGCCTTAATCGACAAGAAATTACACCAATGGCATATAAATTTTCTGTTTATTAAGCTTGTCATTATTGGAATATTATAATATATTTGCCAGATGTTTGATCAATTAAAATTTATTTTAAATTTAAGATCAAAATAATCAAGAGCTGATTTTAATTTCATTCGAATATTTGCTTCAATGTTTACTCTTTTAGTAATTAATTACAGATTTTAATTGGCTTTTTGACACGTAAAATATACAACCTTAGAAAAAACTTCGAAATTAATTTTTCTGCATTTACAATTAGACGCCCCCCACACCCACCCTTCTTACTAAACAATTTGATTTTGACTATATTGAGCTTATGAACCTTTCACCCTTGCTATAATTGGAATTTTTTAATAACTGAACGGATATCCATCATGCGTTCTCTGGAATGGAAATTTTTGCTATATTTTCCTTTAAAAATTTGACATGGTAAAAAATGGAATGCGAACTCTACACCATGTTTCACAATATTCAGCAAACGTTGCAGATTTCCATCTGCATGAAATAAAGTGGATATGAGATATGACGCAGGCTGATTAACGATGCCTGAAATAAATCTGACCCTTTTTTGCGACCCAACACCGTGTGTCATTTCAATCCCCTCATGTTACTGTTCACCGGTTTATTTAGAAAAAACAGTGATTTTCCTGAATAAAATTTGTTGACTTTGGTTACAGCTGATTGGGCCGCAGTTCATAAAGGCAATTCGTCCTGGGCTGGAGGAAAAGTGGACTGAGGAGCTGCAGGAGGCCTGGCTGCAACTTTTCCGCTACATGAGCTGCATCATGAAAGTGGCCATCGAGCAGGAGCGCATCACCAGCGGGGTCGCTCCCACGCACTGAGGGTCCGGCAGCCATGCGGGTAAGAAAGATTTATACAAATTTGCATATTATGGCCGCCGTGGACTGACGTGGGCTTGAAAAATGAGAAGGGACTGTCACGAGTGAAGTTAATTTGTATTCCGCAATGCGCGCTCTTGCCCTGTTTCGGACAGCTTGGCAACAAATTTGTTTAGATTTATTCCGTTTTCATTAAAGTTTGCATATTAACGGAAAATTCAAAAATTTCCAAGCTTTTGACTATGGATAGAATGATTGATTTACTTGAATTTTTCTGCAATTGCTGTAAAAACTACAATTTTGATAGGTTAAATTAATTAATTTTGTTAGTTTGAATTTTGAGTGTCGCAGTAAAAATACAATTGTCTGAAATGCACTCGCCCTATTTTTAAACAATATTTACCCTCTTTTTTTATGGCTTCTTGATTTTGGAAGAGATAAAATGCCTGTACACAGAACGAGGAAAATACTCTTTGAAATTCATTTGTTCCCTTTTTACATAGAATATAATTGCCACATGTAAAGCATTTTTTATATGTTTTCATTTTTCGAATAAAATTGCCAGGGAAGTTAATTTTATTTCCACCGCTGTGTTGTTTTTACAGCAACCCTGTTCACCACTCTGTTTTCCATTCACGACTATAAAATTCAATTTATTCATACTTTACAAAAAAAAGGTCGCGCTCATTTTACTGTGGGGCAAAACTTGTTCTGCCGTGAAATTATTTTCATTCCGAAAAGAGCCAGTATATAAAATAAAAAATAAATTAAACTGGATTTGTGGGGGACCAGGACGAGATCGCATCGCAATAAAAATGTAAATTCACCTGCCTGCACCGCGTGTCGTTTTTCGCGTTCCAGCGGCTGCCGACTGGAAATTGTTTATGTCACCGGCTGCTGAGCTGCTCGCCCTGCGTATAATGTGTGTGTATTTTCGCAGTCAATTTATGGATCTGACGGCGAAATTTGATTTACGGCATTGAAAATAAATAGAGTCGCGCGCACGTTTGTTTGTTGAAAGTTCGTAGACCAGGGGACGGAATTCCAACAAGCCCACGCGCTTTTTTCACTCTTCTTGAAACTTGCAATTTAAGCAGAGGGTAAACATTAGAAAATATTAATAGATTAGAGATTCAAAATTATATTCCGAGATAAATTTTGTGTAACGTCATATTCACGCAGGGCACGCAGGGATGGGAACAAATTGATATTTGACACAAAAAACTAGCATTAACTAATAAACCCAGACAAATATGCCGGCTTAGAAATGTTTTAGTACTCTAACTTTTATTAAATGATGAAAAATTAAATAAATAAAATGTAAATAAATAAAGTAGGGCCTATTTAAAGATATGCATTGAATAAAGCAAATGACACTATTTCTTTTATTCTTTTTTTTTAAGAAAATAATCAGTATAATCATCTATTTCAGCAGTAAAAATTGCTATAAAAAGGCAAAAAAAAACTTCACCTAATCTCAAGTCTAGACATATTGTAATATCTCTCATCGTCAAGACTACCTGACGCTACTTATTTGCCAAAATTTCAGTATACATAAAATTATCAAGTCAATTAAAAAAAGATAAAAAAGCGTTAAAATTTCCTTTCATTTTAAATAAAAAAATTTTACATTAAAAAGCAGCTTATAGAGCGCAAACCTATCAGCCAGTTTATTAAATTTAAATATAAATATTAGTCTCATTGTCAGCACCTTAGCGTATTAATACCAATCCTTCTTCCTCCGCATTATCAAAAAGTTGTTGCGTTATTTGGGTACAAAGCTGAAAATGCAAACGAGCTTGTTAAAACTTTCAAGCAGGAAACCCGCAAGACTTTATAACCTCAGCTTTTGCCTTTTGGATAAAATGCGTGTGCTTTATGGCCTTGGGTAAGCAGATTATTTTTCTGCCGGAAAGCATATGGTTCCCGCGGCCGCTTTTTTCTCTTTTATGTATCACAGCAAAATTACACAGAACGAACACCCACCGCGTGTTTCCCGTTTTGTTTTTAGCTTTTGGAAAATCACATTCGTCCTAAAAGCGAGAGCATGCACTATCGTCGGGAAGCGACGTTAAATCAACTTCTCATTTTTTTTCCTCAGCCTCCAGGAACTTTTTTACCAAGAGAGAGGAAACAAAACACGTGGCATCTGATACTTTTTTAAGCAAAGAAGACTTTTCCCATGACCTGCGGAGAAGAAGGAAAAGTTTCTCGATCAAAGCATTTCCCTTCGTTTGCCTCTCGTTCATTTTCCATTAGAGCTCGTGTAACGCAAATCTGTGATTTTATTACAATCGCTGGAAGAAAAGTTGACTCAAAACACATAAACTTTTATCAAATATGTATATTCCGTCTCCCGACGTTTTCCTACTTTTATTCTATCACATTATTATTATTGCTCTTGCTCCATGAAATCTTTCAAGAAATTTAATGTAGTACTTTTCAATTTGCAGTATGAAAAATATATCTCTTTAAATATTTTCTCTTAATTTATCTTTTAAAAATTTCAGCCTATTATTATAAAAAAAACTCAATCATAATAAAAAGATTTAAAATTAAAATTTTATGTTCATCTCAATGACTCAGTTTTTTAATCAATCATTTTTGCTGCTGTTCAAATTTTCACAAAATACACTCTTCTTTTTAATGCTTTATAAAAATATTAAAATAATCTGGAATACTTCCGCCAAAAAAGAGAATTAAAATAATATCATTAAAGAAGCCTGAGAAGATATTCTATTACATTTTTATCAAACAAATTGTGAAAAGTCATTTGATCCTTTTCAATCCAAAAATGATTAGTAGTACTGAATTCAAATTGAGTTTAACTTAAATTAAATTTATGTTTATACAGACATAATAAAATATTATTTTCATAGGGAGAGGCCAATCTGGTCTCCATAAAAATTGTCTCCTCTTATCATGCCTTTCTTTAGAAATTTCGGATTTTGTTAAAGTGAATTCTTATGTTGACGTTTTCTTAATGGAAAAGGGATGTAAAAGGAAGTTTTTAAATCGGCTATAAACTATTTGCTTGGAGCCTAACGTTATTCCTGCCTACAGCACACGATCACAAACCTAAAACTGTCTCGTATACTTTTGGACATTTTTCATCGCAACGCAAAACGGCGACAGTTGTCGGATCTAGACAAAATTGCTTTTTTACTTTTCCTTCCACGCTTTATCTTTGTTGCTACTTTTTTATTGTTCTTTTTCGGCATGTCTGTCTCACTCACGCCTTCTCATACGTGACTGGTACAGCTGCGAATCCTCCACCTGAAAAATCTAATAATAACTCGGTAGGCGCGCACTCTGCACATTTTCATCTTGCTGCGTGCATGAAGAGAATTTGTGATACTAACATACCGAACTTGCTGCTTTGCTTGCAGGCACTTTCGTCGTGGGTTGGGTGAACAACGCAGACTCTTACCAAGAAGAGGAAGAAGCGAAAGGAATTCTTGGAACATGACAAACTATGTGCATTTATTGGAGAAAGAAGAAGACGCGAATTTGGCGAAAAGGGACGGTTCAATTCCTCGGTTAGTTTTAGAGTGAAAAAAGCAGCTTTTCATGTGTATGTAATTTATTCATCGAGAGAATATTTCAAACTAAATAATTATTACGAAAATTGTGGCATAAGTTTAAAGCATCCCTCTGTTTTGAATGACACACTTTGAAGGGAGCGTTTCGCGTTTTCGGAGGGGGTTAGAATTTGCATACAAACTGAAACGCTCCGACACCTGTGTTTATTCAATACAGAATGATTATGCTTTGGAAACTTGCTGGAATCAGGAGCGAATTTTCCGCTTGGTTGTCGCACTTTTGAGAGCGATTGTTGCTTCTGCGCGCACCGTTAAAAGGCCATTTGCGATCGTAAATATGTACGGCAGTGTGTCGTGTGTGCAGCCAGTCAATTTGAAGTTTGTTCGTCGCTTGCTTTGATGGCTCACAACATTCTCTCCTCGCGGGCTAAAAGCCGCCACATTTTCGCTAATGGCAAAGACCCACATCTGGCGTCGACGAGCGCGAATTGAGGCCAAACAAACATTATTGAAACAGAAATTTGAAACAAATTTAATCACAATACATGTTTTTCTAAAATCGAAAGAGCTAAAAATAATATTTTTTCCAAGCAAAATATGGGAATAAAATTTTATTGAATTTGTCAGTTTGTTTTTCTTCTTGGATGCATTTTATAACATGGTTAGAAGTTCACGGGAGTTTTTTTTTATAAATTTGTTACATTGTGATTGCAAACGTAGCGGCAGAATCTCTGCTCTGCTTTATTTAGGCTGGAAAAATATATTGGAAAACACAAGAGAGCTCTTTGGATTCGAGTGGTCTCGTGAATATTTCATAGCAGCAGCATTAATTTTTCAGCCCCTGCTGCGCGAACAATTGTTTTTTTCTGGTTTGTTTGCTTTTGAATAAATATGGGTTGGGTACATACATTATATCATACAATTTTGCGCAGCTGAAAGAGAGGAAATAGGAGCTTTTAATATGGATTATGTAATACTGTTTACCAGCAAAATAACAAACTGAAGCCTATGGACACCTGGTGAGTGAAAAGCGTCGATTTCATTAATGTACGTGCTATATACGCAGTAAGTTTGTAGCGCAGCCAGCAGCAATTAAATTTAATGTAAAAGCGAGCGAAATGGAAGCTGTTGTAACACTGGAAATAATGTTCTCATGTTTCATGTATAGAGAGTGCAATGTAAATAAACTTATGTGCAAAATATCATATATACAGAGGTACATACTGTCATATACATATATTCAAATTATATAAAATTAATGTACTCACTAATATTCACTTGCAGAATTTTTGGTGTCATAATTTAATAAATGTGATACTCCTTGGGAAGAAAATGGGAACTTGTTTCATTAAGTTAAAAGGCTGAAATAATTGGAGATAATTGAAAACAACTGCTTATTACATTTTTAACCAACACATTCCTGCATCAAAAAAATTCATAAAAGCAATCAAATCAGCGATTTTAAGAATATTCGCTCCAAATTAGTTTTTCTTGCGTCCTATGAAAGAGTTTGAATTTGGTTATCAATGTTCTCAAGTCTAAATATAAATAAACCAATTGGTAATATTTATTCAATATTTATTTAAAAAACATTTCTCGTGGTTATCTTTTGAATTTTGTAATAAATTTTCGCAGGTTTTCTTTTTCTCGATGCTGACAATTTTAAAGTCTTCAAAATTTTTGTAATTTTACCTACTCATTTTAATTTAAATACTGTCTTTGTATGCATGTACCATGCGATTGAAGGAAAAAATTAATAATGAGATTTTTTCAATGAAATTATTACCATTTTATTTTTTCAAATTGTTAATTATTTTATTTGATATCCATTGTTTTAAGTTTGGCCAAATGAAAGCTACTTGGATTAGTTTATTTTTTCTTTCCTTCATATTTTTTTACGATCGAATAATAAAACTTTATAATATTTTTTTTTACATAATGATTAGATAATCATGCACTGTCTGTTTCGAAATTAAAGCAAATTTTTCTTTATGAATTTTAGGAATCTAAAAACGAAGATTGTGGTTCTCACATTCAACATATCAAATAATCAGCTAGTGTTAGATCTATTTTCGGACCGCAGGACCGACACCCTCTCCAATCAACGTGGTACGCCGCAGCTAAATTGAATGCCAGCGTGCAATTTTAGGGCCTGTTTGTTTCCCAATGAGCATTGCCAACGGAAAGGGTTAAAGTCCACGATCAAAGGCAGGCTAGCAAGGGATGTGCCTGAAGCGAAATCCATGCTTTTGGGTCAAAGGAATTCATCTGTGCGACCGCACCCTCGCTGACAAGAGACCAGAAATTCTCAAAATCAACGGAAAAGTTCTTCCTCGAAGAATGAGGCGCATGTTAAGCAAACTTTCCTCTTAAATTTTTATTCGCCCGTCGTAAAAGTAAGAGAGCTACAAATTTTCTTCTCTTCTCGCAAACAGCAGCCGAGAGACGTTTATTACAATATGAAGGTGACAATGATGGATTCGCGAGGGCAAAGGTGCGAAAGGCTGCCTTTACTTAAAGCCGAAAATTGAACTGCCGTCGCCGACTTGCCTCCACAGCCTTTGGTCATTTATCTCAGCATCGCAGAGGAGCTCCAGTTTCAATGCTCCAGGGGCTGAGAGAAAGATGCACAGAGATATTGGGATCATCTGGACCCTCGCTTTCTCCTCAAGGCGAAAATCTGCTCCGTTTCACGCAGGCGGCGTCATTCATCGGAAATTCGATGCTCGACACAGATTCAAGATATTTCCTCCAAATCTCTTTTGATGTTGAACGAATTCCTTTGGAGGAAAGAAAGAAATGGAGAAAGCCGCCAAAGTTGTGTGTGTATGCAACCGGTGCGTCTCACTAGTTGCGCGGGATTGCCGAGATTTAGTGAAACTCTCCGTAGCGTTTTATTAGTTTTTTCTTCGAATAAAAGAAATGCAAAATGAAATTATTAATTATCATTATTTTATAAAAATTCCTTAGCTAAATTTTTCATCTTTTTTTGGAAGTTTTTTTTTAATATTTGACGAAAACTCTTATTTATATTGTATGACTTGAGTAGAATTAACAACAATATAACAGACTCAGAATTTTAGCTGTTTATTTCTTCTAGAGTACATCAACTTGACGCAATAAATTTATCGAGGACTTCTTCATAATATTGTGAATTTTTTTAAATAAAATTCTGGATTTCTGATGATACCCAGTTTGCTAAAAAAAAATATCCAAGTTTAATTCTTATCTACTGGTATATTTTTCTATTCTCTCACGCAACTAGTTGGCAAAATACGAAAGTGGAAATTTCATTAGGAGAGAATTGGCACCATGCTCTGTTAATAACTAGATAATTTTTGGAATGTAATTCAACTTTTCAATTATGCGTTAAATATTACTTCATTTAAAATGAGCAGGATATTTAATTTACAAGGAAACAACAAAACACCTAGAAATATGGAGGGTATATCTAGCTCTATATTAAAACACTACTTTTTTGTTTTTACTTAACTACTATTTTCCAAATATTTAGATTAAAGCCAGATAATCATGAAAAAGTTAATCTAGAAAAACGAATAAAAAAAGATAACTGTATTATTTCGTATGTTTTACATAAGTGTTTAATCAATATTTTGATGACAAAATGAATCTTTGTTGGTAAAAAAAAAAATTTTTTTTATAAATTTTAGTTTAAGGTAAAATCATAAATTATCGCATATGTTTCACTTCTTAGTATTTTTATTTCATTCCGTGCTACAGAATTCAGTTCAACAACATATTACATATCAGTTCTTTTTTAATACTGATTTATGAGCCACGAAAATTTGACGTTGTTGTGCCACTACCTCGCAATATTGACAGATTGGAAAATGCACAGAGCGCGCGGCAACAGTTTTTTTTCACAATCGAAATACAGGCCTCGGAAAAATACATAGAGCAGCCGTCAAAACCGTTGTGCGGCCGCATTTTATGAAAGCGATATGGCACACCGAGTAGAGAGCGAGAGTGGAAAATTCAAAACTCGACATGTGAGAGGGAAAATGCAGGCTCATCAAAAAAGTTGCTATGCTTGAGTGTGCGAATCCTGCATTCAAATGAGCCTCCCTATATTGTTGCACGGTGGCGTTTTTGAGCAAGAAAATGAAATGAATCTGCAAGGAGACGCAGGCGGCACTGAAAAAAAAAGAAAAGCTATGCAAATTCGATTGCCGAGTTTAGTGGTTCTTTTGTCATGTGCAAATAAATAATAAAGGGATCGTGCCTGTAATTGAATTCGCGGCTCAATGGGCAATTCTTTGAACAAGGTCTTTTATATCCCCTGTAAATTACTCCATATGAAAGTTTATTCTTAAATATGAAAACAACCCATTAAAGTTGTGATTAGATTAGGTGAGCAATTCAAGTGGCTTAAACTTGTGAGAAGCCATCTGAAGAATTGCTTTAATTTGATTCTTGTTTACGATAATGATGCCGCTTAGGCAATCAGAAAAACTCGGCCTTTATCGCTAGCAGACTAACACAAGTGGTTAAATTCTATTGATCGACCACCAACGAGCAGTGAAGAACAGCAAAGCTACACAATACTAAGTGTATCAACGGCTCATGGCTTCAAGCATAAAATTGATAGTAAATTATAATTAATAGCTTTAATGTTATATTTTTATTATAAAATATGTGTAAATTTTTTATTTCTCAATCATTAAATTTTGAAACATTGTAATTTGATAAAAAATATTTTATTTCATGCAATTGTAAGTTGAAATTTGAGAACAAAAATCATTAAATTGTGGTTGGCTTTCTTCCTTGTGGATTTTCCAAAATTCATTTACTCAGCTCTTATCTCAATTAAAAACAAACTACATGGCAAAAAGTTGTCGCATAAACGTCAAAATATATAAAATGAAAATTCTATGTTTTAGGAAAATGAGTTTGATGGACTGGACGCTGACCCCGTCAAAATAACAATTTTTAAATTGCAACTTATTGAAATGGCTCGACAGGCTACAAAAATCCTCTACTTTTTCTATGAAAATTTTTTCAATCCGTATTACGCAGAATTTTTTTTAAACAAATTGTTTTTGATTTCTTAAATTCTTTTATTATAATTATTATTATAATTAAAAATAATCCATTACCGCAATGAAAAAGTCAATTTAAATTTAGTAAAAATATAATGCGTATTTCTTGTATTACTTTAATATGTATTTCATTTAAAAGAAATTGAGGCGCAAAATAAATAGGGTGCGCCGCAGTGAGTAATTGATAATTCAAGCAATAATAATAAAAGTAATTTTCTTTGATAAAAATGAATCTATAATCAGCCAGTTGAAAATTGAAAATAAAGATAAAAAAAAATAGAACGATTTCACGTCTGGTGACGCGTTGACACATAATTTGCTCCTTAATTTAGTGTTGTCACTTTACTGGCCTATAAGACCAGCTTAAATTATTGCACTTACACATATGACTCACTTGATTTTGCAATCATTGTAAAAAGGTCTAACTGCTTGTTTACTCCGTTATCATTTTCCTTATTCATCAAAATAACGCGCAATTATTAAACATGATTGATTTGTCCAAAGCGCGCAGTTTTCCAACGTGCTTTCCCATCAGATGCACTTCAAAAGAATATTTATTGCCGAATTTTATCTCCTCGGTTTAATGGGAAAACTAGGTAGAAATATCTGACGCACACACTTCTCTCTAGACTGATAAGACGAGTGCACCGGCACATTATTAAAGCAGATAATTTCATTAGTAGAAAGAAGGTCTTTCGATACGGAAGTTCGATCCGCAGAGTCTCTGTAAAAATGGTTTGTTGTTGCACACCGGGATGTATCCGTTGCTTCCTGATTTTCTTCAATATTTTATTGGCGGTAAATTTTCAATATAAAATCATTTCAAATAAATTGACAAAAAAATCATTCCAGATTGCTGGTGGAGCTCTAGTTTTCATTGGTGCTGTAATTCAATGGAATATTTACGCATTTAGTGAATTCCTGACAGGCATTGTAAGCAATTTTTTAAAAGTGATTATTTTTGAAAATAAAAAAATTAACTAATCAGATATCAGCCCCCGGAATTATATTGATGGTGGTTGGAGTTGCTCTGGTGATTGTTGCCATCATTGGTTTCTGTGGGGCCGTAACTGGATCAGGCTGGGTCGTAAGTTAAACTACCAAAAAACGTATATATTTATTTTCTAATATTTTGTGTCCCTTTGAAGTACATCATTTCTTTGTGCATTATTATTGCATTGGAACTTGCGGGAGGAGTTTTTGCTCTAACCCTTCAAGACGAAATTGACGCGGCGATCATGAAAGCCATGAAGGAGCTAATGCCTCTTTACACTAATACAGGACCAGAGGGCCAAGTCGCAAAAGAAGCGTGGAACGCCATTCAAAAGAGCGTGAGTTGTTTAATTATACAAATTCTGATTTTAATGATTATTGTAAGAATTTTAAAATATTTTTTTCATTTTTGTTGTTTATCCGTCCAATTGCTTACATTCGGACACTGTTCAGAGTTTACAAAAACTTTTATTTGAAAGAAAGAGACTAGGTCGGGCAAAGAACGGCACAGACAATAGCAAGAATACATAGCAAATTCTGAAATCAATAATAGGCATCATATACCGTAGTGAGAATTTTTCTAGTTTAAGGAGTAATTCTTTACAAATCAAATCAAATTCAATTTTATTTTTTGTTTAAAAAAAGCTCTTTGGGGCACAGTTTAGTAAAATACTGCAACCATAAAATATGAGGTTAGACTATTTGCAATTTTTTTAAAAAAAAAAATTCCATTTTGCAGTTTAAGTGTTGCGGCGTTGAAAGTCCTCAAGACTGGTTGCAAGTTCCAGGTCTCGAAACTCCACCCGACTCATGTTCGTGTAACCCTATAACCGGATCCTCTTGCAGCATCGATGGAATTTACGAAAAGGGATGCTACACTTTGGTCAGTGGATGGTTTAGACTTGTGGAAACTGTTCTCGGAACTTTGGCCATCGGTTTTGCCATAGTACAGGTAAATTGCTTGAAAACCGCACTTGTTTTGACTTTTTTGCTCATATTGACGTTTTTGCAGCTCATCTCGGCGATATTTGTGTGCGTTTGCAAAGGGATGTGCAAATGCTGCTGCTGATGATTTAACTCTAAAAAGTTCATAACAAATTTTTATGCATTGATGTAAATTGTAAAATATCGTTAAGTTTATTTTGTGGATCTCAATGTTCAAGAAACGTTTTGCTCAAACCCGAAAGATAAGAAAATAAAGTTTTGTGTGTTAAATTAACATAGAAAAATTGAAAATATCGTTTAGTTTTCGGTTGGGCTTGGTGAAAAAATATCTGTATTTAAACGTATTAAATATACATAATAAAATGAATTTAAATGCACTTAACGTATGTATTGAGTATTGGTATAACGGAAACTTTTCCTGCCACAGACCTGGTGTAATTGCAGGATAATTTTCTTTTAAATTTGTATCCTGGAGAACTAATGAAAGAAGCTGAAAGGACTGGACTCAAGATTATAGGAACTAACAAACACGCAATCAAAATAGTCAAATCTTAAACTTTACTTGGTTCTAAAATTTGAATTTTCAGTTCCACCTGTTTCACCATAACATTCCATTTGAATCATCAATTTATTTTTAACTGTACTTAAATTACATACTTTCTCTAACGCAAGCAGCTAAATTTTCTTCAATTATGCAAATGCGGGGATTCAATTTCGCTGCAGGAAGAGGCCATATATACATTTTTTTCATTAGTTTAGACATGTTACAAATGATTTAGTTTCAAGAAACGGTTGTTGGGCTTAATTTATAAGTGGTGGTGACTGCAAACTATTTTTTGCTCTTGATACCTCCTTTTAACCTTTTTTTATAATTTGTTTTATTTTTAATTGTTCGAGGTTTTCTATATGCCGAAAGTTGTAAAAGAAGCATTGCCTTGCGGCTTGTACACAAGCGATAAGTACATTTTCATTTGCGTCACCGCAATCAACAGTTACTCAGACGATTAAAACTTTTCTAAAAAATTCACTAAATGGGCTCTAACAAGTTTTGAATGAGAAATCTAATAAGAAAAAAATATTTCATAAATTCATTAAAAAAGTTAAATAAATTTTTGTTTAAAAAAGAGGGAATATGCATGTAAGATGTTATTGGCATTGAATCATAAATTTACAAATAAATAAATCCATGGCGCTCTTTAAAAATAAAAAAAATATCGCGTCTTCTTTCTTTTGAAAAGTTTTGGCGACAATGAGCAGCCAAAACGTAGACTGACTCACATCTGACAACAGTTAACTTTTTATCACTCTCCCCGTCTCCTCCTTTCACAGTCGTGTTGACTGGCGTTAAAAAAGTCGCGCCTTCCATGTGTGGATTCTCCTCGCGCGAGTGATAAGAACATTAAGCACACATGAAAGCAGCGCCTAGATAAGCCGTGGTGAAGAGTTCAAATTTTTTAGCTTCTACAAGCGACTCGGCAGGTACACAGAAAAGGATTGTAGTTAGTGTTCAGGGCGTTCCACTGGGCAAAAGGCTCTTTTTAAGTTTTGCGGAGAATTGCTGGAATTTGAAGTGAGAAAGATGGGTTGCGGAACTTCAACGATTAAGTATCTCCTCTTCATTTTCAACCTAATTTTTGCTGTGAGTTGTATACTTTGCAAATTAGCTTATTGTAACGTCTAAAATTTTTAAAGCTTGGAGGATTGGTTATTTTGGCCATCGGAGCTATCATTCAATGGAACATAGGCTACTTTGAAACTGGACTGTCAGAGAAGGTTTGTTTAAAATTTTATTAAAAATTCTTGTTTAAGCAAAAAAATTTGTTTAATTGTTTCAATTTTTTTTCTTCAATCGTTTAAATGAAAACTAAAATTCTTATTTTTATTTTAATTTGCTCCCATTATAAAAGATGTACATTTTTTATAACAAAAAAAAAATACTGATTTTTATTCATAATGCTTTTGTTAACTTCCGACAGTAAAAAAACTAGCAGCAATTTTAAGCAAGAGCAGAGCAAGAGGAAATTTTAGTAATTTATTCGAATCTAGTTATAATTAAAAAAAAAAAAAATGAAATAAAAATCCAACGTCGTTTAGGTGACAGTCCCTGCGATCTTATTGATCATTGTTGGCAGCATTATTTTTGTCACTGCCTTTTTTGGATGCTGCGGCGCAATTCGAGAATCGCATTGCATGATAACTACGGTGTGCTCAATTATTTTATCATTTTCAAATTTAAACTACTTCTATTTCATCTGCTCAGTTCGCAATTATCATGCTGGTCGTTTTCCTGATCCAACTGATTGGTGGAATTTTGGCCTTTGTGTATCAAGACGAGCTCGACTTGACGTTGAAAAATTCCATGCACGACTTGATGATTTTGTACAAGAAAGAAGGCCCCGATGGCGATTTTGCCCGTCAGTACTGGGACTCGATTCAAAGCCAGGTTTGTAGAAATTTCAAATTAAATTTAGACCTTGGGGTTTTCTTTTTCTCAACATCAGGAAATAAATTCAAAGAACAAGTAAGATTACAACGCGGAAATTTCAACGGAAATGTGACTATGGTGGTGCACGTGAGTGATTAGAACTTTCCTTGTGCCAGTTAGTCATTGTTGGACGTGGTAAACAGTGACGTAATTGTGCCCTATATGTCAAAAGAGTCGCACCCAACAGGAAAACAATAAAAATTGTCAAGAATGTGACAAGTCCAGAAATCGACAATAATTAAAAATTTGGAACAAATAAAATATTTCTTTTTGTACTTATTTAATTATTTGGTTTGCAGTTTCAATGTTGTGGGGTTGATGGACCCCTAGACTGGACCCTGAAGACCCCTGGGGTTCAATTACCTCCACCCTCTTGCAGTTGTGACGCACTTTTGACCAGCGAGTGTGTGGCTGGTATTTATTCAAAGGGTTGCTTCCCGAAACTGAGCGAGTGGATGAGGATGACCCAAAACGTCCTCGGCGGTGTTGCCATTGGCCTGGCGGTAGTCGAAGTATGTTAATTTCTATTTGAGTGCGAGGAGAGTAATTCATTGAAATTTTAAATTCTAGTTGATTGGGGTGATCTTCGCGCTTGTCCTTGCAAATGCCATCAAAAGGAGCTATGGAGGATAGATTCTTATACTGTAAAAATACTTAAATTATAAACAAGACTATTATAATGCCAATTTTAATGAAGAGACTTAAATTTTTACAATTATTATGCAAGTAATCCAAAAATTCCTAGAAAATAAGTTTTATACCACTCTTGCTCTAACTGCAGGAATTATAGTATTCAAAAATATTTTACTGATTTTATAACCCATGCCTCTATTTCATTGATTTGCATAATTTTTATATCAAAAAAAATTTAATACTAAATAGTGGATTGGGACAGTTTTCAGAATTATTTTATTAAATTTGTATAATTAGACGTTTATGCATCAAGGAAATAAAATTTCTTTGTATTTCTACCAGAAATAAAATTTAATGATTACGGAAAGCCGACAAAAAGTTTGTGGTTTGTGTGATTTACCAGCAGAAATTTATCTAATATTTGTTGAGGTGATTAAGCAAATCTTGTGCTTTTTGTACTTATTTGGTCGTTTACTAAATAGTTTAAACTGACTTCATTCCTGATGTTGCTTGTTAGGACAATCTGAAATCATATTGCCAAGGACGTAACTGCAAGTCGGGGCCCTCAATTCAATTTTTATAAAAACAATTAAAAAAAAAATATCCATATGTTCTAAATTAAATACTTTTGTTTAGCAAAATTAATTGTTTTGATTTTTGATTTTGAGTAAAAAATTGCAATTAATCAGTTACAACACACAACCTCTTTTCCGCTAAGAATGCAAAATTTTCTTAATTTATTTTACCATGTCAAAAGTTGGTGCAGCGACTTTCGTAAATATATAATGAGGTTATATTTGTCAAATGAATCATCAGGCTCAGCCTATAATTAATTAATGCTAGAAATTCAACACAATTGATAAAAAGCGATTATTCCTTCTCCTCCAGTTTGAAATTTGCAGGGACATAACTTTGATGGCCAGGTCGGACATTTATGGGGGCCTATATATGTACACATATACATAAAAAATAATTCAAGATTATATCTTATATTAAAGAATAATTGTGCAGGATGTGGTTCGCGCCTATGCAGATTAGCCCAGCTATTAGTCAGATTAAAAACAGATTAGGTTTTGCTATAAAAGCAGTGGCGGAGCAAAATGTGCTGCACTCATTATTTAAAGTACTAAGAATTTGGGGGTGCAGACTTGCAGGGAAGGCGCAATTATGTGTTGTTGTTGTTGTCACGCCTCAACAAGGAAAAACTTAAGATGCTTGTTGTACGCATTATGCACATTTAACTGGGTAATGGATTTTGCTTTTTCCTGTCTCAGCATAACTGATCAATACTTTTAAAGGTTGGAGCCGTTATCCTCGGTGCTCTTGGTGTCGTCGCTTTTACGTCACCGAACTACGTCTTTGTAATAACAGCTACGGCTATTTTCTTGACAACCTTCTTTGGATGCTGCGGCGCTCAGCAGGAATCAAAATGTCACCTTCGAATCGTAAGGAAAGCCAAGTGAATGTCACGCTTCATTTACATAATTATTCATTCCTCTTATTATAGTTCGGGTCCTTCATGATCTGCACATTGGTGGGCCTCGCTATTTGTTGCTTCTTTGGTTTTGATAAAGATAACCAAAAAGCCGGATCATTGCCAGCATTTTTAGCATTATTAATGGCTGTGCTTCAGGTTTGTGATTTTAGCGGAACCATTATCAATAAATGTGATGATTGCTGTTTTGACTTGCAGTTGCTTGCGGCTATTACTGCATTCTACTTTGCAAGACATCTTAGAAATTATACATCAGCACCAGCACACGTTATTAACATTCAAGTTTGACGGAAAACTACAAGGCCAACAAAACAAAACAAAAAGTCCCTTAATGTTTTTACGATATTTGATATTTCTCACATAAAATATAGAAGTAAAAACTCCAAGCCACACATTTAACCCTTAAAAATATACAATATTGGATAAATATTCCATATTTATTATAATATATTGCATTGTATTTGTTATACATATGAATATAACAAAAAAGAAAAATAATATTGACATTTTTTATGCTTTTTGATACAAACAAATTTAATAATTTGTGAAAAAATATGTATGTTTCAATAAATAAGCTTTAAGCAACAATTTTGATTTTTTTAATTTAAAATATGTTGTATTAAATAACTGGGCGTAATGTGCGCACCCTCGTCGACACTAGATATTGCGGCTAGTTGGGATAAAACAATTTAATTTGTATCAAATTGCGCTAAATATTGTAAAGTTTTGAATTACAAAAAAGAGCTATATGCACAGAAATTTGAAAGTGCAAAGACTGAAATACGCGTTAAAAAGCCTTATGTTTATAAGCACACCAGAACCTGAAACAATTTTTTATTGTGGTAGAATACTAAATGTATTCAATGTTAAGCTTCTTCTTCAATTAAAACTGCAGAAAGAATTAGATATCGAGCGATATCGACAAAAAGTAAATTTCCAAAGGATGTGGTCTGCGCTTGGTTTATAATCACAACCTTTTTTTGTGCCTAAAGAGATTACATTTATTTGTATAATATAAATGCAGAAACTTTACTTCCTTGGTTTTGTCAACTGCGAAGAAGGCGTAACTATGTGTTCCTTTTCAATTATTAAATTCTTGCTTTTCTTCTTCAATTGTGTAATCTGGGTAATTTTTTTAAATCTATTTCAAGTTATACACCATACGCCATATTGGCAAATATGTATTAATTTTAGATTGGTGGTTCTGCACTTATTGTTTTCGGTGTAATCCTGAAAGTGGACAATAACGTAGGTCTTACTGAAGTCAATTACGGGGCCATCATTCTCATCGGCATCGGAGGATTTATTTTCTGCATCGCCTTCCTAGGATGCTGCGGCGCCATCAAAGAGTCAACGTGCATGCTGAGAACTGTTGGAGAAAATACATTCACTCATGATTCCCATTTTCTAAACAACTCAATTAAAACTTTCAGTTTGGCTTTATCTTGCTAATTATATTCTTGATTCAAATGATTGGTGATATCCTGGTATTCGTTTATAAGGAAGAAGTGAACTTCAAAATTGAATCCAAGATTCAGAACAGCCTACAGAATTATGGAAAAGATGGAGTGCAAAAGACACTGTGGGACACTATCCAGAGAGAGGTAGAGCAAAGTTTTTATATTTCCAAATTTATTCAAAACATTTTGTGAGAATTATCATTCACTTCACTTTTTGATAAGATATTAATTACTATTAATTTTAGTATGAAAAACACACATCATTTGTAAATTTCTGCTTTCCAGAAAATTTGATTTCAATTTAAAATTTATAAATAATTTCCTGGTTTCAATGTTACTATAGTTGAAGTGCTGTGGCGTGAACAGTTCCATTGATTGGACTGATATTATACCAGACTCATGCGATTGTGTAGACAAGAATATTGGCAACTGCACTGATGATCAACAGTACTACAATGAGGGATGCTTCAAAAAATTAGAAGAAAAGTTCAAATCATGGAGCCTCGTCGTTTCTATAGTCTTGTTGGTTTTGGCTCTGATTGAGGTTCGTTTTTTTACTAAAAACTATTTTCAGCATATCTGAATAATTTAGGTTTCAAATTTCAGTGTCTTGGCGCTATCTTTGCCTTTTCTTTGGCATCCCAAATTTCAAGCCAACATGGAAAAAGAATTTATTAACGCAATATGACGCTCCGAGAAAATTCTTGCATGTTTTTTTAAATTCATAAAGTTTCCCGCTGATTTAAAATTTTTACAAAGAAACGGCATACATTTTTCTTTAACAAAAATATTAATTATAAATAATAATAATCATAAAAATAATCATCATGGTAACTGCATGGTGGTAATATATAATCAAATGGCGAATTTAAATATCAAACGGTCTCTAAAAAATAATGTTAAATGTTAATCAAGTCTTAATAGGGCGCACAACTCTAATAATAAAAGAAAAAAATTAGAGCGTCATCATGAGCACCTCACCATAATATTTTTAAAAATATTGAGATGATAAGGACGCGGATAAATACGATGCTATCGTAATTATAATTTCTACAAAATATTTTTATGTAAAATGCTCACACTTCCAACATCCAAAGAGACACAAAACACAAAATTCGCCAAATTAATAAAAAAAAGTGATAAAATCAAATTTATGCAACTTTTTAGTTGTAAAATATTATTTATTGATAAATCGCAGATGAAATTACTGCCTAATTACAAATGTGTTTATATGAGTAATTTTTCGCTTTGAGAACACTCAAGATAGAGTTATTAGCATAAAGTTATGAATACTTTTATATATTTTTCAATTATTCAAATCGCGTTGTAAATAAATAAATAATATGTATATTGTGCGTTTGAAAAACATTGTCATATATTTATCTATTAATTTGCTAGTTCTGTTGACCTAAAATGTATTTTTTTAAATTAAAAATATTTTTATTTAGTTGTCCACATGTTTGCAATTACATTTTTTTTTTACATTCGATAATTATGTAATTGAAATAAAAATTCTTGAATAAAAGAGGGAATTGCTGGGCATAAAAAAAATCACAATATCTATCAAGAATTATATAATTATGTACTAAACCTTAAAACTGCTGAGAGTAAAAAATATCTCATAATCTGGTGTGCTTTAAAAAAATGGTGCCTTCTGCACCACCAATAAGGGGCGCAGGCCGACAAGACTTTGTCTTGGCCTGACCCTAAAAGAAAAAATAAATCGTCTTAGTTTGTTCTTGTCAGTCGAGTTGTCATTAATATAAGTAACAATAAGTATCAATCAGTAACAAAAATAATAATAATAATAATAATAATAATAATAATAATACCCCTGCATCATGACATTATTAGATTTTTCATTAATCATAAAAGAAAAACAGATTTTGGCAATAAATTTAAAATATAATAAATAAATATTTGCGTCTCTATAATTGCGAAAAATTTATCAAAAAGTTTAAATATCTACCTCCTGAATGGTATATTTCAATTACATATTATATTATCAAATTATATATTTTTTTTATATTAAAAAAAAAATATATAATTGTGTGTATGAATATAATAAGTTGACGCTTGATATCGCTTTCACCTAGCTTTAAATATCAAATTTCTTATTAAATTCAAAATGTACTTTATAATCTCTGTTGCATGCGCCCAGAGAGTTATATTGAGTTTGGTGAATGGGAAAGTGGAAAAATCTAGCGAGTTTTAAATAAAAGTGCTGACGTTGGTTTTCCTGGAAGTGATAGAGAATATAAATTTCATCATCCTTAGAAATTTAAAATTTTAACAAATACACGCACCTATTCATGTACATGTAATATGCCTTGCAAAAGTTTCATAGTGAAAGAGATCGGATGGAATATTGGTAAAATTATAAATTTTTATATTTTTAACTTTCTTCACAATAATTTTTATTTTATTTATTTTTTGTTAAAATGTATTGCAAAAGGTTCTATGTGAAACCCACTCATGCTGACATTATGTCTTGCATAATTACGGGGCGCTTCATTTTACCATCAGAAAAATATTAATTCCATAGGATGTGGTTTTCCCTTGAAACAAAAGATCTAATCGCGAGTCTACGGATGTTTTGGCGGACCACAAATGTTGCATTTGTCACTCGATACACTGCTCACTTCAGCCACTTTGACTGAAGCAAGGAAACGGACAAGGCGCAACCATGGGTGCGGCGTCGATCATAAAATACATGCTCTTCTTCTTCAACCTGCTGATTTGCGTAAGATTTGAAATTCCTAAGAATTAATTCTTCACAAAATATACAAAATCAATTTTCTTAGACCGGGGGTTTAGTTCTGCTCGGACTTGGTGTTCTCCTGAACGTGGAACTTACCGGCCAACAGGAAGGGCCGTGGACTGGATTGTCCATAATTTTCATTTCAATTGGAGCAATCGTTTTCGTGATTGCCTTCCTGGGATGCTGCGGTGCAATAAGGGAATCAACATGCATGCTAACCACGGTTTATAAAAAAAAGGAGAAAATATGAATTTTGCTAATCGTTGATTTCAGTTTGGCGTATTCCTAATGATAATTTTCCTGATCCAAGTTTCTGGCGCAATTCTGTTATTCGTTTATGAGGACAAACTGACCTCTGGATTCAGAAAATTGTTGGAGACAACGCAGGGGTCCTATTATGATGATGGAGAAAAGGGAAAGTTTGCGAAGGAAACATGGGATACCATCCAGGCAAAGGTACCAAACATAATTTTTCAATTCAATATTTTTGTTCCTGAAAAATCAGTTTTTCTTTGCATTTTGATGCAATGTAAAGATTATAATCTTAAAAGTTAACACATTGCCGATATTATGTTTTGAAGAAGGTTTTTTGTGCATTTATAGTTCTTTTTTTTAGATAATTTTTTAAGTTCGTTCAAATTTTATAATTTTACTTTTAATCTTACAAATTAATATTGAAGAAAATTTAAAGTTCTAATACTGTAACTTATTGTTATAGATTTGAATAGAACAACATTAAACGTTTATGTGGTTTAAGCTTTGTGACCGAAAATATCATCCTGTTATTTTTTAACGTCAATGTCACTTAAAAACCCCCGGCGCCCCGGCGGAAGTTATGGCATATTTTTTTAATTTTTAACATTGTTCAATAACATAAAATTTTAAACAATTTTACATTTTTTAATCTAAAAAACTCTTAATTTTCGTCAAATAAAATGTGAAGTGGAATTTTTATTGAAGCTAGGGCGTTTTTTCATCAAAATTATACTCACATTGGCAAAACTTTTTTTTAATTTTAAAAAATGAACCTAAACCCGACTAGTGGAATTACTATGTACATATTTTGCTTAAATTTAGGTCATGGAAACTTTTCCTACTTATAATCACTTATAATTGTCAATTTTATAAAAAAAAAAGTTATTCTGAATTAAATATCTTGCAGCATCTAAAGTTTTGATATTCTGGCAATTAACGTTAAATTATTTTTACTTTTTAGCTGAAGTGCTGTGGCATCGACGGTCCAAACGATTGGCTTAGTTTCGGCAGTGCTGCCAATGCCATTGGTGACGTCCTAAGAAACCCAGCAGGCTCTTTAGGCAAAGTACACGTGGCACCAGCCTCGTGCAAATGCGTCGACCCAAGTACAAGCACTTGCTCTAACACGCCACCCTTCGACAACGTGTACTCCCAGGGCTGTTACCTGAAATTGGTGCACAGCGTGCAGACTTCGAGCACCATCATCGCTGCCGTGGCAATCGGTCTGGCTCTGGTCGAGGTAAGTGCTTGTCACATTGATCGCATCCCTTTGATTTTTGTAAAATATGATTTCTTGCAGTTGATCGGAGCCATTTTTTCCTTTCGTTTGGCGTCCGTTGTCCGAAAGCGAGAGCTTGGGTTCTAAGAAGAGCAAGAACTTTTTGTTCAAACACATCAAGAAACTTTAGACATTAATTTTTGTTATCTTTATAGTAACTTACAAATAACAAATTATTAAAAATTTACCACACAAATAAAAAGAAAAATACTTTAATGCAATATTGTGCATAAATTAAAATTCCATTTGGGGTTTCGTGTGTACCTTTGTTTATTAATCTAATATCTAATTCAAAGTATATCCATTCCATATGCGTAAAGCCTACATAGAAAATGTTATTCAAAATTTATAAAATTGTTCACAATATTCACTTAGATACACGTATCATGAATTCAGCCAGATATTTATTAAATTAATTAATTTTAATATAAAATTTTTTTATTTGCTTTTATTTAAAATAATTTAAAAATAAAAAGAGGACATTATTAATTTATTTTTAAAGTTTTTTAAAAAAAATGGTAAAAAATTAAACAGAATAATTATATGTAAATAAATAACAACTCTGGATATAACATAACTCAATAAAGTAACATTAAATAAAATTTTATAACGTTTGCCATTTCTTTTTATAATATTGTAAACCTTAACCAGTAAAAACACAAAATATATTAATATTACCCATTTAAAAGGATTTTGTTTTAGTATACTTAAAATATCATTTCTGCTGCGTTTTTCATTTTGCAAAACGCAATAATTATTAGCATGCAGCAAACCGTAAAATTATATCAAATTGTGTAATTGCATTTTTGTTTTTTCTCCTGTGCACACGTATGTACAAAAAAGTACAAGCGTTGCACGCGCACATCCTGATTATTAATATTTGTTTGTTATGGAAGAGCAACGTGCATTGCTTGAGGATTGCTTGGCGCACATGCATGTGGCCAACCAGAAAAATTTTACTTTCGTCAGGCGCAGGAGAAAGTACAATTATTATGCTTGGGTGTATGTAGGTTACTGACTGGATGGTGGGCTTCTTTGTGGTGGTGGCAGAGCCTCGGCTGCTCGCGCACTCCTCAGGTACTTTCTCAAAAAAAAAAGACGCAGCAGATCATCTCTCATTCGAGCCAAGACTCAAGCTCGAGTCGTCCTGCGGAATCTGGCTCTCCAAAGGAATCTTTCGGTAAGACATTATTTTTTTTAAATATCATTTTATCTTCGCATCGTCAGAAGAAGCGATCATCCAAGTCACAAATTACATATTTTTTCATGTAAATAACAGAATTCAAAATATCTCACGTTTTATATTCTTATCTTTATTTCGAAGCGGTAAATGATGCTAACAATACAATGTTACCAACAGAGAGTCAGTTTTACGAGTAAAACAATTTTGAATTAATCACTTTAAAGAATTCTTAGAACATATTATGTTATTAAAAAAAAAATTGGCGCTTTCTAAATATATATATGAATATTTTCGGAAGCTGGGATGATTATTAATGGCAGTTTGAATCATTATAATGTATTTCCTTCAAAAAATGAAAAATGTATTTTATTAATTTTATTTTTGCATTAAGGGAGGTATATTTGCCATCATTAATCAAATTTAATCCAATAAAAACTTATCCGTTGTGAAATAATTGACAACTCGGACAATTCATTTCAATATTAATGGACAAAGTTTTGTTTGCATTCGAGCACGCACGTGCCGTAATTCAAAGAAATGTAGCTCAATTTTTCTCCCTTTGAGAGGCATAACTGTTTTTGATCATTAATTGTCTGTGTAGGTGTGCACATACAACATACACACGAAGCGCTAGGTTTAACAAAGCGAGTGCTTAAGGAACAAGGTTGGCCGTTCATTTAATGAAGGTCAGTTCCCTATTCCTTCTGCTTACTTTGCACGCAGACAGGCAGTGATGCGACACCGGTCGAGAGAAAGTATCTGTCCGGAGAAAGCATTCCAGATATATGCTGAATATATATATAAAAAAACTTTGATCTCGCAGCATCCACGTCAGCCTTAACCAGTGGGCCTCACGGGCCGACAAGATCGTTGTTCTTGGTTAAATTTAGAAAACTGGAAACAAATTCACGCAAGAGACCTCAATTTTTTATTGTCTTTATATATCTCTTTCACACGCACCCATATCTTTGATTTATTTAGAACAATAGTTGGAACTTATTTAATTTGTGTATTTATTATTAATTTTCATTATTGAATTTGATGCAGAGTAGTGTTTTTTTTACACCAAAATTAAAATAACTGTTATTTTAAATTTTTTTTTTTTTAATTTCAGCTAATTTAATCATATAATTTTTAAACTGTGCCCTAATGAATCATTTCTTTTTCCAAAATAAACAGTTGTTTGAGCTGAGCTCTCTGATTGGGTACATGAAAGTAGTACCCAAATCAGAGCGCTTTGCAACAATCAGAATTTTCTGTGATTTTTGTTGTTGTGTGTTGCGCGATATACGTAAACTTAATAACTCACTATAATTTAATTTAAAAAGAGATTAATTGCCGCTCATTTCTTTTCCTAGCTTCAATAAGGGACATCGTCAAGTGTATTTTATAACTTATCTTACTTCTTGTGTTCTTGTCTCTCTAAAGAGAAGTGTTAATTAAAATGCGCCACTTGACGCGCAGGGTTTAATAAATGTGCATGCTCGTTCCAAGGTGGAATTCGTTTATGTCGCAATGGACAGACACGTGAGTGGATTTGAAAACGCTCCACGTATATTTTTAGAACTCGGTGAAAGATTGAAAAAGGGAAGCAAATTTTCAAACCTAATTATCAATTATCTCTGCTTATCAGGATGTTTTAGAATTACAATTTTATTTTGCAAAATTAATTTTGTGTTGCAATTGAACTTTAAAGCAATTTAAATTTGGTAAAATTAAAACGGAGACTTCTATCTGCTTCTATCTAAATCTATCTAAATTTAAGCACTAGAGAGAAAATTTTCTGGAATAAAATATGTTAGGTTGTCCAAAAAATTTCTGTTTGTGTTTGTGCAGAATTTACGTTTTTTTCTTTCTTCAGATATGGGTCTTTCGGAAGAGAATTACGTTTGCTCCTTGAGCGCGGACACTGCGAAATTCGCAAAGCAAGATTTGCGCGAGGACGAGGCAACCCGAGAACACGGACTGAAGGCGATGAGAGAGTGGCTCAGCAAAAACGCCGACATCAAAAACTGCCGCACAGGTATAAACCGCCGCCGCCCTTTCCAGTTGTGTTTAACCAGAGTACTGGCCCTTTTAATTGCAGACTCTGTTTTCCTGTTGCGGTTTTTGCGCTGCCGCAAATTCAGTATACCGCAGGCTCAAGAACTTTTGGAAAGGTACTTAGCCATTAGACAAACTTACCCGCACTGGTTCCGCAAACTGGACGTAGATGAAGCTGATTTGCTTGAAATCATCGATGCAGGGTAAACTAAAATTTCCCGATTTTACAGCCTTAAAATAATTCATAAATAATTATAGTATTTTTTTGTAAATTTAATTATACCTAATTATAAAAAACTCCCATATAGAAATGACATGATTTATTTTACTACATTCAACTTATTTATAAGTAGAGACGTTTAATAATTCCATTACTACTTATATTTAATAAGTCTTATTAAATTGTATATATCATTACATTTGAATTAAAAGAAACTTGACTCAATCTAATATGTTCATATTATGGTTCATGTTATGACATAATTATTTTAAAACTAAAATTGGACATTATTTCTATTATATCTTCTGAATTTTTTATTTTTTAAACTTCAAATTGCTTGAAAAAATTAAATAATTACAGGATTTATATGAATTATAAATTATTAATCAATGAAAATATTAAATATCAAGCAAAATTGTCATAAAATCAGCTTGAATAATTAATTTTCTTCCAAAATGACAACAACCAGATACAGCATTAATACATGAATTTACTTAGCTACCTAATGTCAAATAGTTTTCAAATACAATTTTATTAGTAATTTCCTAATATATCTGAGCGCCAGAGTTGAGAAATATACGTAGAATCAGATTAAATATAAACCACCTTACTTTTCTTCTTTTTCAGGTATATAATTCCACTTCCAGAAAAGGACTGTTTTGGACGTCAGATTATCTTGACGAGACCAAGTAAGTCCTAAAAGATTTGGCCTCCGATGACGAATAAGTAGATTAAATGAATTAGGAATAGGAGATTCTTGTGGGGCAATAAAGTCCCGGTCTCTTTTGATTTCAATGTCGTGCAAGTGCAGAAGGAGAAAGTGATGTTATAACGCGACCAGAGTTTTGATAGTATTGGGAGCATTTCACTTTCACTAATTATTTAATTTGGAAAGCAAGTCAATGCAATTAAAGCAGATTTTAGCCAATAACTTGATAATTGCTTAATTGAAGGAAAGTTGCAGAAAAATTAAATTATTCTTCAAAATAAAAATAAAATATTTTTAAGCATTTCTTGTGTTATTGAAAACTTAATTTGCATACTTTTTTTATAAAAAGGTTTAATGTAGGGACTAATTTTCTATCTTCATTTTATTAAAATATGTAAAAACGCACGCATTATAAAAAAATCATTTTGTGAAATTTATCATTAATATAGCATAAAGAAAAAAACAATAAATGTACACGATTTTATCCACTGCATACTCTTAACTTTCATTCTGATAAAATTCGAATTAATTTTCCTCCCAATGGAATTTAAACTGGAAACTTTTGGTTGGAAGGAAAAAATCATAAATACTTGCAACTAAACTTTGTTTTTCTTGTACACAAAAACTTTCAGAGGGCATCGACGCTTTGAAATTCAACTCGGTGCAAATGGCTAGAGTTCACAGTTTGGTGTGCGAAGTTTTGATGGACGACGAGGAAAGCCAAGTGCGAGGGTTTGTGCACGTCAATGATGAGGACGGTCTCACCATGAGCCACCTAAGCATGTGGTCTTTTGCTGACGTGCGCTCCTTGATAAACTGCATTCAAGTAAAATAAAAAGTTTAGCAATAATCGTATATTATAAGAAAATGCCTTTTTCAGAAATCGACTCCCATGCGATTAAAAGGAACTCACTTTGTAAACCTTCCGGGCATTGCTAACGTCTTATTTGAATTCTTCTTGTCTCTTTTGAATGATAAACTTCGTGGTCGAATTCAGGTATAAGATAAATAAAAGTATTATTGTTATTATTATTTCAAATACTGATTTTTTTCCAGACTCATAAATCAAATGCAGAGTTGCAAAAAGCGGTCGACATAAATATTCTTCCAAAGGAGTATGGAGGAAGTGTCCCAATGAAGGACATGATTGGTTAGTTTGAAATTGACTTTTATATTTTATTTATATTTTTGTTGTTAAGTAAAATATTAATGAAAATATCTTTCTAGAACAATTCAAAGCGAAACTGAAATCGCAAAAGAGCAGAATCGCCTCTCTGGAGCCAATGACGATCAACATTAAGCCTGGGTCAAAACTGAACATGGATATTTCGCAGAATGACGATTTGCTCGGTGTCACCGGCAGCTTCAGAAAACTCGAAGTTGACTAGCCCTGTTGAAGATCGATTAAAATTAAGTGAAATTTTTAAATGAATATTATAAAAATTGTCATTAGTAAAGACATCAGTGGTAAATTTGTATGCTTTGAAAATTCGTTATTGGATAAAATCGAATTAATAAATGTGAAATAAGTGATTAATCTTAATAATTGTCCAGCCAACACTGGAATTGATGAGATCAGTTCCCGTTGGTAGGTGGTTCAAAGTTACCTCAACACAACTTAATCAGCCAAAATACCATTTTGTACTGATGAATTTGCTGTTATCTCTTTTTAATTAAGTAATTGTTTGTTTCCGCTGCGGTTTATAACTCTCAGAAAAATGTTTCATCTAGTGTTACAAAAAGCTGTTAAAAATTTAAGAAATCTTTTAGCCTTTGTTTTTGTATGTGTTATTTTCTTCAATTTTGATCATTTAGGCTGAAAATTTTATGTTTTAATGCAAATATATTAATATTAAATATAAAGATAAATTGTTTAAAATACCAGTAATTTTCAATCTAATACCTTGACACAAAATATTGTGATTTTTTAAAATTCATTTTATCTTCCTAAATTATTAAAATTATTTATAAAGCATCTTTTGACAATAGTCTCTACTATCTATTTCTAACCTCCCACACGAGTATAAGAGTTAAGAGTGAAGATCAATGGGACTGAATTTTTAGTGGTTTTCTTATTTCAATCCATTTTTCAGCTTATCGTGAATGGAAAAAAAGTAAAATATTGTTGCATTCATGTTTACGCTGATTAAATAGCTTAAATATGTGACAGCAAACATAAAAGTATGCAATTCGAACACACACGTGTCGTGCAAGTTGCATATAGCTCTGAAAATAGCCTTGCCGTATCTCGTGCGCGCCATCTGTTCGCAGATTTGCCCCACTGCTGAACCCAAAGACCTCGGGGGCACTCTGCGGCACGCCCCCTTATGTTTCCTTCCTTGAGGAAAGAAAACCAATCTGTCGACAACACGGCAGCAAAACACGAAAGCCGAGTGAGTGCCGAATCGATTTGTTCTCGTATCTCTGAAGTCGTGGCCCTGAAGTGAAAACAAAAGGCAGGTTTTTGCTGGACCACCGCAGTGCGTAGTCGCGACTAGAGAAGCTCACACCATGGCAATGCCCAGCAGGGAGTTTCTTTGGGACATTTTCAGAAGGTGAGACTTTTCGGTTCTCCAAAAAGTGCAGTCAGTTCTACTTTTCCACACGTATACACTTGTCTTTTCCTGCCAATATCATTTGAATTAATATGTGGCAATCGTAGCTACAAATTATATAGATTTGTCAAAATTATATTCATGATTGCAATAATCTAAGCTTTTATTTATAATGTAATCATTTAGTTCAATTTTTAAAGATAAATAAATTTATTTCAATCACTATTAACAAAGTCTCATTTTTAATGTTATCTTTTTAAATAAAATTACAAATTTGAAAAGCTGTTATACGTTCTTTATTAGTAATGATAATTTTTAGACGCACCATATTATGTTGGAACATCGCCTGAAACATTTTGTGACGCAAGAGGAGTCTAGTGTGACTCATTGTCAGCATTTGATTCATGAATTATTATTGCTTTTGTTTATTCTGTGACGCGTGAATTTAGTTTATTGATAAGGGCCTGCAAGATTAATTGAATTAATACCACATGCAAAAATGTAATATATTGTTGTAAAATTTTAAAATCCCCTAATCTCATTTCGCCAAACTTATAAAGTAAAGCTAATCTAACCTTCTTTAAACCTTGGTGTCAAAAGTCTAACAATTGAACAATTAAATTGAAAAAAAAGAAAGTGCTAATTTTATTTTATATCTGCTCAATTTATTATTTAAATTTCCAAATTATTAGGTCTCATTAATTTTGTTAAAAACGTACATCCTTCTGAATCTCCGTAAACTTTATTACATTCAACCACCAGTTTTATTTATTTTATTTTTACCAGAGTTGCTTTTTATAATTTCTTTGTGACTATGTCCCAAAATCGCATTGTAAATATTTGTGTTTGAATAAAAAACTTAAATTGATTAAATTTCTCGGATATTTTAAATTAAGTTTTTTTGCGGGTTTTTCAAAATTATGTTATGCGGGCAAAATTCTACTCTACTAGTTATATTAAAAGAGAACTTATATTTGATATATAACAAAATTTTAGCGTCGACCGAGATGGAAGTGGTGCAATTTCTGCCAATGAACTTCAGCAGGCCCTGTCCAACGGCAGTTGGACACCTTTCAACCCAGAGACTGTCCGCCTCATGATTGGTAATTAAATAATAATAAAAAGAAATTATTTTCTATTTAAACATTCTTCTTACTTTAGGCATGTTCGACCGAAACAACACCGGTCAGATTGACTTCAACAACTTTGGCGCTCTCTGGAAATATGTGACCGATTGGCAGAACTGCTTCCGCTCCTTCGACAGAGACAACTCGGGCAATATTGACCAGGCTGAACTGAAACAGGCTCTCGTCACCTTTGGGTACAGATTGTCCGACAACATCGTCAACATGCTCGTGAGGAAGTTTGATCGAAATGGCACAGGGACCATTTTGTTTGATGATTTCATCCAATGTAGTGTAGTGCTTTCAGTAAGTTAAATTTTGTTTAAATAAACATGTTCATGACTAATTTAATTCAATTCTACACACCAATCCAGAGTGATGATTTTAAATCAGGATTGAAAATTAATAGAAATTAATGATTTAAATTTTGAGCAAGATAAAATTTTCAAATATCCTTTTTAATTAAAATTTATTATGCGATCCTGATGCAATCCCTCAATTTTTTTCAACTTTCAATGAAATCCCCATTGGAAACCCAAATTAAGCCAATCAAAAATATTTTTTAATTAAATGGTTGTGAAATTAAGAAGTAAAAATGCTTAAGTTGAAATTTGGCTCTAAAACTACCACTTTTCTGACCTCTGTTTTCTATTCATTGGTCTGATCATTTTTAATGTGTATGTATATTTTTTAATTCCAGCTGTAATAAATACATTTCTCTTTTTCTTTTGTAGACCCTGACAAACTCATTCCGCCAGTACGACACAGACCAGGACGGAGTGATTACCATCCACTATGAACAATTCCTGATGATGGTGTTCAGCGCCAAGATGTGAAAGTCCGACACCCTACGGATCAAAACGAACTTTCCACGATGCCAATAATTTTATTTCCAATAATTGTCCTAACTAAATTGTCATGTTCAAATTTTATATCAAATGCTGTGGCTTTAAAGAGTTTACCTAAACCGTTGTTAATCGAACACAAAAATCCGTAGTACCTACTTGTTGCTCAACAGTATTCAGCAAAATGTACACCTAAATATTGTTCCTCAAAGCTAAAAGCAGGTTTAGTTTGCAGATTTATGAATTACAGTGTTTCTTGGTTGCAATGTGTTTTAAATTTCAGCACAATTAACAAAATCTCTGCGCCATCCATCATAATTTAAGTGATGAAATAAAATGAAAAAACAAACGAAGTGATTCAAATGTGAGCCGCAATTTGAAATAAATGTAGACTTAATTTATTCTACACGGAAACGATGCCTTCAAATAATATTACATTAGTAATTTCCAATTTGATATGATGAAAAGCATGTTGTGCTTATAAAATATGGATTGAATGGCTTAATATTAAATATTGTATTGTTCTTATTGTGTAAAATAATTCTTTTTGCTTTTATTGCAAAACTTTCCCTATATTTTATCCAACGAGACATATCTACAGCGGCGTTTGTCTATAACAGTTTATAAGAATATATATTTGAACTTTGAAGGTAAGGGTTTAGACTGGTTGTGGTTATCTTTATTTCCTTTGATATTATGATTTTTTTTTCATTAAAAAATATAATTTAAATTAAAAATAATAGTAATTAAACAAATTTTCTTGATTTCAATCAAAATTAAAAGGTTTGAAGAATTTTTAATCAAAGTGATCTTAACGAATGTAGTTGCAAAACCTTTATTAATTATATTATTTAAAAATTGTTTGATAGTCTACGATTTTATTGCACCAAATTTAAATCAAGAGATAGAAAAGAATAAAGGTTTTGTAATCAATGTCAGAAGTCTTTGCTAAATTTCATTTCAAATATTTCAATTAATATTTTTTACATGATTTATAACATTAAAAACTATAATTATAAAATATTATAAAAAAAATTATCGTACCAAATTATCTAGATACATAATATACAATAATATGTATAATTTCATAATTTTCAACTCTCTCTCCTTTAATAAATGTCCTGCATAGTACCTCATCTACCGGTTGGAAATCAAACTTTTAGCTCTTATCGCGGCTCGGATCAGAGGCGCGAAATTCAAACCAAAGTAAAGCACCATGTGCAAGTTTGGAACCAAAACAGTCCAGCCCTTGCCCTACGAATTTGACCCCTTCTTGTGGCCAGACAATGGCTGAGAAGGTGACCGAGGCCTTCCGAATCCTGCAGGAAAACGCGAACGGTGAGTACCTTTTGTTTCGTTCCGATTTTCTGAGTCCTAGACTCTGTACGCTTGCGAAACGCGTGACCTTTCCTACTCGTTTTGATTGTGAAATTATTCTAGAATATTCTTCTCCACCCCGCAGATCTGTATTTGCGTGACCACGTTGCCGAGGTCGAAGGTCCTCCTGACCCTCTCGAATTCCATCGAGAGTGGGTTTCGCCCAACGTCCCCGTAATCTTTAGAAATGCGGCCAGGGGTTTCCCTGCTTTTGAAAAGTGGTCACCTGAATACCTCAGGTTGAAGCAATTGAAAAGAACAAAATTTGTTTACAATATTTGCAAGAATAATTCGATTCTGCTTTTAGAGAGAAAATCGGTGGGCAAAACGTAACCGTGGCCGTGACCCCGAACGGATGGGCAGACGCTGTGTCCGACGACGGACACTTTTTCATGTTGCCCGAAGAGCGGAAAATGCAGTTTTCCGACTTTCTGGACCGTTTAGACGATGATTCGCAATGCAATCCTATTTTTTACATGCAACAACAAAATTCCAATCTAACCGGCGAAATGAAAACCTTAATTGGCGACGTCCCTCCGGACATTGACTGGGCAACGTCGGCTTTCGGACAGATGCCGGACGCGGCCAACTTCTGGCTCGGCGACAAAAGAGCGATAACTTCCAGTAATATCAATTCATTTCCAAATTTCAGAGATTTTAATTATGAATTTTGCAGCTCACAAAGATCCTTATGAGAATATTTATTGCGTAATTAAGGGCGAAAAGCAATTTGTCCTGAGTCCCCCAACTGATCTCCCCGGAATGCCGTACAAAACTTTACCTGTTGCCAAATTCAACGAGGTTGTGATTCTTTAATGACTTCCAAATTGCAGTGTTACTAAATTAAAATTAAATTTAAGGTAAAAAGTACGAAAGACTTCAAAATTGTTCCCAATGAAGATCATACAAGATGGATTTGTCCTGATTCAGATCAAAGTTTGCCGATTCGACTGAAAAAGTTGATTGCGAAAGTGCGGGCAGGGGATATGCTGTATTTACCATCGCTATGGTTTCATCAGGTACTTAAGAAATTTTAAAATCTTAATTTCAAAATTATATAAAATGTTAAAAAATTCATTGTTTTAATGTTTGGTTCAATTCCAAAGGTTTCGCAAAGCCACGGTTGCATAGCAGTCAATTACTGGTACGACATGAAGTTTGATATCAAATACGCGTACTTTTCCATGCTGGAACAACTTTGCTCCGATTCTGTGATAAAATAAATAGTTTTTTTTTTAATTATGAAAAAATATATATGTCAGTTTCATTGAATTCGCTCAACTATAATTGTATCATTATTTATATTTTTATGCATTATTTAGTAACTCAGATTACATAATAATGTTTTAAATATCGTTTTATAAATTAATTTTTTAGTACTTTTTGTACAAATTAAAAACCAAATTATTCAAAAATATTTTTTCATTTTGGAATTTTAACCATCAAATTTCCATCACATTACATAGATCTATGTAATGGTAAATAATTGTTGTTGCCACGTAGCAGCAAAACTATTTTTATCTATCCCAAGTTTTCCTGTTGCTTTTGTTGAGACGCAAAATCGAGACAGCGCTGCACTGTTCGGTGTCGACCTCTGGTGGACGAGCCAGGCGCAGACTAATCTTACTTTCTGATTGTACTGCAAAGAGCCGAGAAAATTTCGTCAGAAGAAAAAAAAATTAAAAGTGAGAATTAAATTACGAAAAAAATCTTATCACTTAATTCGACTTGAAAAGAAAAACCGCGCTTTTTTTCTTTGTATCTCACAATTATCCGAGCTGTGAACTCGGCGCTGTGAACTGTGGAAGTGAATTTCGCATGGTCGGCTGAATACAAAAGTGGATCACTGTGTAATGGGGAACAATTATTTAATGAATTGCATAACGCCGGGCGAAAATCGCTGAGAGGCGACGTGTGCGTGATTCACGCGGCGCCTCTTTACCACGAAAATTTTATTATCTGCTTACATGAGGGAATTCCTATTTGCTTCCTATTTACGCGGCAAACTTGCGGGTGGATTTCCTACACGTGGGTGCTGGCGCGGGAAGAAAGCAGAAAATCACCACAAACAATGATGTTTCCTCAGAACGTCTTTGGCGGTTTCCGAATTTTTTTAATACATATTTTATAACTCGTACCCCAGTTGCCATTATCCACATTTTATTCGCTTTTTATCTAGACATGGAGGAATCTTTTAAATAATAATTTTTGATTAAAAACAAAAATCTTAATCTGTAAGTTGATTGAGAAAGTCAAGAATCGATTGTGAATTCAGTGAAAGTGACAAAAATTGCATTCAGAATTGTAATAAAAAGCGTGCGTGTTGATAATTCTGTAGGAGGGGCAGAAAAACACATTCACTATCATCCACATGAATTGTTATCAGTTTTTTTTAAATGCGAAGTTGGTGACGTAAGAATGCATCCCGGGAAAACAATTTCATTCCACGGCGTAAATATCGCCGATATGTATGAGTCGATTGGAATTTTGTTAATAAACACCTCTAAAGTTTTTCCTGGTAATTTACCACTTACGTTAATTATTTAAAAAAAAAAATGGTGATTTGATATTTACATTTTTTCTCAAAGATGTTATTTTTGGTTCCTGGCTTTTATAAATTTAATATAAAATAGTATAATTATTAAATGATGATATTTAGTATTTGTAACAATGAGAATATTTCCTGGCAAAGATTAGGAAATAATATATTAATTATTATACATTAATAAAAAAAGGCTCATTTTTTTCAATTTTTAAAATTTTAAAATTAATTTTTTAAGAAAGCGCAGAAAAATTTGTATATTTTGTTATTATTATACATTTTTGTCAGCAGCTTTTCAATATTTTTGGTGTCTAATTTTTAGTAGACTCTATAAAGCTATACAAAGATTTATGTTTTCCGTCCTATAATTTTTTTTATGCATGGGATTTGCAGATATTTGCTATGTACTATATATGCAACCGATTTTTTTTTTTTTAATAACTCTTATTTCACCCGACTAGCCACAAACATGTTAACGTTGTTAACGTTTATCTGCTTTACTTTTATAAAATAATCTATATTTGGAGGCGCGCGTGCTTGGAGTTGTGCTTTTGGCTGGAAAAAATAATCACTGAAAAAAACGCGCTGCACAAACAGCCGGGGCGAAACAAATAATGTGCATTGGTCAGCAACGCGGAAGAAGAGTGCAAACTCAACAACAAACTGAGGAATTATTGAAAAGTCGAAGAGAAGAATAAAACAATATTTTCCAGTTCGGAAAATAGTGCAATAAAATACCTGCCTGCGAGAGCTAAGGATAATATGCATTTTTTTTTTTGCGGAAACGTGCGGTGGGTGGGCGACAGGTTGGTGGCGCCGGGGATGCACCTGAGTGCATAGGGCGAGGTGCGCGCGCGCGCGCCTCGGCAGAGTGTCCAGTGGGGGAATCGGCGGCGGAGAGGCGACGGAGAGAGGGCCGGCGAACACGCACTCGCCTTTTCCCACTCAGCTGCGCTCGTGAAATCGCATTCAGCCTCCGTCAGTCGAGTGAGAGTCACGTCGCCGCTCCGTCCGTACGAGCGAGAGAGTTAAAGGGACATAGCAAACTTTACAAGTTTTTTCGCTGCGACACAGTGGGACAGTTAGTGAGAGTGTGTTTGCAAATTATGTGGTTGCACGATGGACGCTGCCATGTATGATTCGGTCGAGGTGAAAAAACTGTCCGGTGGAGCGGCCGGCGGCGCCGCCAGTGTTCTCGTCAACGGAGGAAACGCGCTCAAACTGGCCGCCCTCAAGCAGCACCAGCAGCAGCAGCTGTTGCACTTCAACAACAACAACAACTGCAACGGCGGCGAGCTGACCGAGATCGGCGCCCAGGAGATTTCGCTGGAGCTGCAGAATCTGATCGACGACAGCCAGTTCGGAGAGAATCTCTTCTCCGAAATCCTCTCGGGCCAGACCAAACTGCCCGGCCTGCTCAAGGCCACGCAGGACTACTCGCAGCAGCTCAACAAGAACAACAACAACAACAACACCGCCAACCTGAACCACCCGCACGTGGTGCCGTCGCCGCCGTCGAGCACCAACTCTGCGTGCTCGTCGCCGGCGTCGCCCTCCGCCTACAACTCGCGCGCCGCGCTGGCCTACATGCCGCAGCCCGTGCACTCGGGGGCGGCGTACGGCAACGACAACAACAACGTGCCGCCCATCAAAGAGGAGCCCGTCGACCCGCAGGACTTCCGCCAGTGTCCGCCCGGCGGTGTCCCGTACGCGTCGCCGCCCGTCGGCGGCGGCTACTCGCCCGCCGGCCTGCCCTACAGCTCGGGCTCCAGCGTCGGCAGCAACTCGAACGGGCCGACGTTCACCACCCTGACGTCGACCGGCGGCATGGGCGGCGACCCGCACATGCACCTGCACAGCTCGGGCCTCAAGTCGTCGTCGTTTTCGCACAAGAACCTGCGCAAGCACGCCGGCACGCCGAACCCGTCCGGCAAACCGGTGGACAAGTCCAGCGACGAGTACCGGAGACGGCGCGAACGCAACAACATTGCCGTGCGTAAGTCGCGGGAAAAGGCGAAGATGCGTTCGCGGGAGACTGAGGAAAAGGTCAAGTTGTTGGTGCGCGAGAACGAGCGTCTGCAGAAACGCATCGAGTTGTTGAGCGAGGAGCTGAACGTGCTGCGCTCGCTCTTCTCCAACGTCGGCGTCCTTCCCGAGCACCTGCACCGCGAGATTGACAAGCACCTGCAGAGCATACAACAACAGCACCAGTCGCTGGGCCTCGGCTGAAGAACGTCCCCCGAAATTCGCGGAGAAACGATCGGCTCAGGGTTCTAATGAGTTAATTTTATTGTTATATACTTTGGATGTGGCTGTGTGTATGTTACGGACTGCCGGAGGACTCTTTTGAAAGAAAGACTTTATTCTTCACAACATATTCCTGAGACTCGCAGTTGTTTTTTTTTTCGCCGTTTTGTTGAGATATTTGATTTATATATATGATGCACAATCGCGAACTGATCCTTTTTGGAAGAGAGAGACACTCTGTCAACGGACTCGAGAGTGCGCGAGCGAGCGACGGCCGACGGCCCAGCTGGTAAGTTTTGGCTGATTTGACTGGCACGCACATATATACAAACACACGCGGTTGCATATTATATAAAAATTCCATTTTTCATATTGAAAGTCTGATACGTAGAGTGTGTTATTATTACATTAGCGTAGCATATCGGTCGAAATGCCAGTAGTTTTGACTGTCAGTCAAAGTCACGCCAAAACGTGCCGCCCCCGCCGGCCCCAATTTTCCGCCCCGCGATGATTATTTCTGTTTTTTTTTCTATGTAAGTGTACATAATATACGAATGACGAGAGGAGAATTTTTAAGCTCTAGAGTGTAATATTTAAATGTGGTGTTTATAGAAAAAAATTGTAATATTTCGTAGCGGAACACGAAGAACTAAAACTTTTTCTCGCAGATTTGTGAACGTAGTTGAATTTTTAATTGTTCAGCAGTACAAGTTGTCTATGTTTCAATTGCGCGCTAAGACTTTTTCATTGTTCAAATAATAATAATAATAACGCAGCGAATCAATCACATATACACGTTGTTTCCGGTCCAAAATTGATAATTGTTATAATTAAATGCGAAATTTGTGATCATGATCGAGCATGTTGGAAAAATTGGTGATCATATCATACGTGTATATTTGCTGTAGCGATTCTATAATTCATATATTAGGCACACACGGAAAATGAAAAAGAAAAAAAAATATGATATATTTTCTAAGTATTTGATCAAAGTATATTCGAGAGATACAAATTTGCTAGGTAATTTTTACAATTTAAAGAGACAAAACAAAATTTTGTACAGCGAGGCTCTAAAACATATAAAGATTTAAACTTTAATTATATATTAAAATATGTATACATACTAAAAAAAGTGGATATTTCGCACCAAAAATTATAAATTACCATCCTGCTGGACAGACTTGACTTTATATCGGGACTGGTAATTAATCAAATACATTTAATAACTCGCGGTTTTAATTAATCGTTCGTTGCCTGACCTCATCATGCGCCCCTTGATCTGCATTCTAGAACACACGCACGAAATGTAATAATAATAATTATATAAAATAATGTGAATGGTGAAAAATCTCGCGGAGTGGTAATATCTCGAAATGTTTTTTGCCAATCATTCATCCTAATATTGTGACAAAATGTGTAACCAATCTGTGAACGTACCCAAACGAAACCAAAATCCTCATTCGTGAAAATCGATTTTGTACAGTATTTTGCATAAATGTAGTGTTTACGAGATGCACACTCACACATACACCCCCTTTCACACTCTAGGGACACACACACCCACACACGACACACAAGAAGAAAAAAAATTTACAAACATGCATATAGCTTAATAACTTTGATAATAGTCTCATTATTGTATACAACAGTGTATTTATATACAATCTATAAAAAAAATTAAAATACAAAAAGTGGAGTGTGGCGAGAGAAATTTTGTGCTTCTCTTGACCGCCACTGTCACAGCAGCCCTTTTCTGAATTCTCTATATCGCGACTTTTGCTGAAGCTGGATTATTGTAATTTATTTCTTTGATATAACTGCGCTAATTACTCTTATTAATGTACATAGGCAACCCCCACACACACACATGCATAATTAGGATCTTTAAAAAAATATATAAAAAAATGCCATGGTGAGTGTTAACCATTGTGTGACATGTCAAATTCATCAGTGCACAAAATATATTTTGATACAAAATAAAAGCCGAACGTTTTTCATTCCAAAACAAAACTCTCCCTTGCATAAAAATTACTATTAAAATGAAAAATAAAAAGTTGGAAAAATTAAAATTAAGTTTTGCCATTGAAATAAAATGGTATTTGTTTGCAAATGTTTCAAAAACATAATACAGTAAAAATTAAATTGAAAATTACATCTCTGAAGCATAAAACTGGGACAGAAAAGTAAAAAAATTACATATCACTATACTATCAGCTGAGAGGTGCGCCGCGCCCGAGGAAAATTCCGAAAGAGCAAGTCATCGTTTTGGCGCCAAGCAGGAAATTCGCCGACATTCCTGTGCCCAATTTTTGAGGAAGAAGAATAATTTCGCCCCCGTGTATATTATGAGAGGAGGATGCGCCCGTCAGGTGGTTGTAGATCAAGTTCAAAAAATGAAGTTCAGCGCATTGTGTCAGAGAGCAGTAGTTTATTCAAACAATAACAAACGATTGGCCAACATTTTAGCAGAGAGAGAACCAAAATAAATATAGAGACAGGCAGACTACGGTTGATGGTGAGAGAAAAAGAAAGAACGAGAGACGAGTGAGTGTTACGGGGCAATTATATAATGCGAGATAGAGAGAGAGAGAGGCGAGTAATCAAATCGAATTAGTGGTTCGGCAGAGTAGGAAATGAAGGTTCGATATACAGCATAATAAAGTTACGCCGACTGAAAGCCACCATGCATGCAGTTTGTGAGAGGGAAAGTGTGTCACACATACACACACGCGTTAAGCAGGCTGGGCCCCGGGAAGCCTTTATCCATTTACTGCGCTATGCCATTTAATATATGGGGCCCTGCTGATGGTGGGATTGAGCCTTGTTTATCGCAAAGTCAGCGCTTTTAATGCAAAAATTCACTCTCACCAGCAGGACGAGCATTTCAGAAAATATACGCGCGCTTTCCTTTTTGGATTTTTCAAGGTTTTGCGCCCCTTATTGTAATGCTATCATATTTGCGCGATATATTATAACATACAAGTTTTCTATATATTATGTGTTGGCGTTCGCACCGCCGCAGCCGCGTTCGTGATTTTCACACTTTCTATACCGGGATGACTAACTTGGAGGAAAAGTCCGATCCTGTATTGTTAATTTAGATCAAGTTGCAAATTTGATTTCTCTTTAAGAAAGGTGGACTTGAACTTAAAATAATAATATTAGCCCCTTTAAAAAAAAATGGAACTAAAACTTTTAAAAAATGATATACTGTGATCTTTGAAAGAACTATGCTTTATAATTAATTATGTTGATTGAGTATAAAACAAAACTAGTACACTACGCAATTGAAATATTAAAAAAAAATTTTAAACAAAGAAGTGTTTTTTTTTAATAAGTAGCTTTCTTAAAAATTTTTTCTATATTTTAATTAATTTTGCGATTTTTTTATTTCATAAATTAATTATTAATAACACGTTATACTTCAATAAAAAACTTTAAAATTGAGCAATAATTTAAATAATTTGTGCAACTCTCTAGAATACATGTCTCATGATTCAAATGATTCAATAAGGTTAATAGTTCTGTCTAACAGTAATGTGAACTACGGCTCAACATATTATTTCAAACCTATAAATAAATCAATTAGTGAATTACTTAAGATTGGTGCTCTTAATTGCTGTAGCTGCAAAGTATGTATTTTTTAACAATATATCATTGGACAGCACAATTTTGAAACTCAGATGAGGCGGTCGTAATACATAATTTTACTTCAACAATCCCCCAAGCAGAGATTTATTAATTCCTTGCTTTAACAAAAATGATTCTATTACTAAGAATAATATTCTGAAGTTGCTGTATATTATGATTTCTCATTTTGGTGACAAATTTTTTTGATTTAATTTTAACGCAAGTAGTGGGTGTCACTTTACTAATGACTAACACCCAAACCGCACGTGATTAATTCAAATTTTTACACATTATTTGCAATGATTTATTTCAGTGAATGTCAATCTTAAGCTGCTATGTCAAAAGTAACGCGCCACTTTCAACCACTTCCGTCACATGATTTCTCTTTATCTAATAATCTATGAGTGTCGAGAGGGTTTGCATAATAAAATTTACAAAACTGTATAATATATTGTTAAATGATTTTACATTTTTGCAAACAATTTTAGCAAGTACGATGAAAACTTTTTAATCCATGCAAATAAGTATATAAAAGAAATATTTAAAGGCAATTTTTGCCACCGAAATCAGCAAACGGTTTTGGTGAGTGGAGAAAATTCACCGCATAAATCGGCAGCAGCATCTCTCTCTCACACACACACACACAATATCAGCTCGTTAGTCGGCGAAAAAGGCGCGTCCTTATAGGAAAGACCTGCACGCATAGAGTGGACGAGCAATAAATTTAATTGATAGTCATAGACCGACCCACCTGCTGCTCTCCGGCGTCCCTTTCTCTCCTCGACACTTCCACTTTTACATTTGCCATAGCGTTCAATTTCTCACATGCATAATTGATTCTCCAAAGCAATTAGCAGCAGAAGGTGAAATTAATTCCGAACGAGCAGTGCAGACTATTTTTGTGCCACTTTGCTTGGCGTTAATTAAAAAGCTGTGCCGCAACCCTTGCAGTGCAAACCAGACTTTGCGTTGGCAACAAGCGTGCACTGCTGGGTCTTCCACCTTGATCGTCGACATCGCATTATTATCAAAGTGCACTTGAATATAATAATTATAATGCAATATAATGCACTCCACGGTAATTAACATGTGCCCGCTCTGTTTGTTTCCAGCTCGGCTCTCTGTCTAGGCGTATTATTATTTAGCCCTCTTGTTTGTACGCAAAATATGTGCATAACCGAGGGTGTGCAAACATAATGTGGATGCCCGCTTCGCAGGCCCTCGTGCTGCCCTTTGGATTATTATTTCATGCATTTCTATGCAGCCTGTTTCCAGCTGCACGGCGCCAACTTGCTAATTTTGTTCGTGGCTAAACTCACATGTGTGCGGAACGTGTTCATAACAGACCGTCAAACCTCTCCGTATCTGAACTCAATAATATAGTAAAGTCTGGGCAGGGGGCAATTTTATTATTTCAAAATGGAATTTAACCATACGTTCAATAGGATCAGCCGATAATTAATTAATGTAAAACAGAATTTTATCAGTAAACTACTTCCATTTTTTAATTTGCAAAAACAATCTGTGTCTGATCTATCTTTCAATTATTTTTTCGGTTTAGATAATTTTTTTATAGTTGCAAAATTTTAATATTTGCCAGAAATTGTTACGCTGAAATTTTTAGAAAATCATCAAAAATTTTCGATTGTAAAATTAATTTGTTTCAATGTTTTATTCCCACCTGAGGAAAAACTTATTTTCTTATATTGAATTTGTCTTTTCATTTTATTACAAAACAAGAGTCCTTTCAATCAATTTGGCTAGTCTTCACAATTGATTGTTCTGACTTGTTTAGAGAAAATTAAACGAATTGATTTGTATTAAATTTTACACGCGTATTTAGTGGTTCAAATTTTAAATTTTTTAAATATTTTAAAAATTAAATAAATTAATAATAACCATTTTCTTAAAAAATGTCTTGATTAAATTTTGTGATTTTTCAAAATATAATATATTCTTATAAATTTAAAATACAAGTTTATTTGGGAAAAAATATAGAGTTCTGATATTTAATTTGTTTAGCAGTTACAGAAGAATTCTGAAATAATATATTAATATTTTGTCATCCAGTGTCAATGACTGTAATTAAAATTTTTACAAAATATTATGGCAGTGCCTTTATGTCTCAAATATTGAGCTGAGCATTAATCAATCGACAGAAATGAATCATAGTAGAATAGATATGAGATATTCATTCACATTATTGCCAAGCCCAGTAAGGACCAATTATCTATAAATTTATTTATTTCAAATTCAAATAGTATTATTCTCTATGAAAATAAAATCTGGGTTTTATGTATTTCTGAGATTTTCAGTATCTTTATCTGCCTAGCTTCTTTAAATTTGTACTTTGAAAATAAAGTATGTTTCATCTGTTTTGGTTTGCGTATAACTCGTTAAAAAACTAATTTTGTACATACCAGAGACAAAAACTGCGGATGAATTACACTCGAAAAGTGTTTATATTGACAGAGATATCCAATTTTTATTTTTCGTTTAGATTTTCCTCTGTTTCCATTTTGTCGGTCGGCATCCAAACAGTTCCATGTTTGCTGATAGACACCGAGAGCAAATTTTCGGTCACAAACACACAGGGCGCGCGGAATTCGCTCACATTTTTACGACTCATCAATTCATCCAGCGCGTTCTGTTTACGGACTCACATCAATCACGGCCATTGGGCTTGTTTGTGCGCGCGGTGAAAAAGCTCGTTAAAAAATATAAACCGGCGCCAATTTCCCGAAATGGACTCGGCGCAAAAAAGAAAGCTGGAGTGCACGCACTACGCATTAAACATTCATATTTCGCACATGTCCAGAGTCGCGGGCGATTTTATTGATGGAATAAACATTTTGCTGTCACATCGCGTGTCACACAGCCCGAATGTCACGTACCCCATTATTTTGCATCTATACGATTTTCCACCCACCGACATTGTGTGATTCGCACGCGAGACCAAGAATCCATTAGAGAGACTGAATGCTTTTTGCAATTACAACTCTTTATACGTTTTTATTCCACACAAAAGTTCCAATTTTTATTGCTAAATCGCTACATGTTTTAAATCAATTTGGATCAATTTTCTATATGATCATTCAAATTTGAGATAAGCAGCAATTTTTTTCTTTACAATATTTATTAAAGAAAAAAATTAAATAATAAATAAGAATTGCATTAATTTATTTATTTAATTGCATTATATATTTCATTATAATGGTTAGAACTACTAGCCAATTGCAATAATTGCGTATTTAAAAGAATATGTATGTACTTTATAAGTGAATATTTATATGACGTGTTGATTAACTATATAAATTGTTAAATGAATCAATGCTTCTGTAGTTTACTTTTT